ACACTGTTTTGTTCAATTAAGATGGATTCCTTGATTTTTCGTTTGTTTATGTTGGATTCTTTGTTTAAAATTACTGTGTTTTAATAGACATAATATGGGTTTTTTGAGTTGCAATGGTGGAAAACATGGGACGGTTTTTTATTGTGTTCTGTGAATCTGGTTTCTAATGTTTTTCCTGTTTCTCCGATGTAGAATTCTGAGTAGTTATTGCATGTTATTTTATAAATTACGTTGGTATTCAGTGATTCTAAATAATTTTTGTTTAGTAACGATTTTAATTTAGGGCAGGGTTTTTTAGAGAATACAATATAAGAACTTTACTATCTGGCTTACACTACGATGTTTTCCTCTCCTCACCACCTCGGGCCTTATCTTATCATGAGACGACCAATAACTGAGTGACGATCTAATTGTGGTAATATTTTTTAAACTTTCCCTACATCGGAATCGAGCTAAAGATTTCTCGGAAGTCAGGCAAGTGCTCTACAAACTGAGCTGATAAACGTTTCAAAGTTTTCACTTTTTGTCTATTTTAGGCATGATAGGTTGATCACAGTTTGAGTTGTAATGGAGTTGTTAGCTTGTTGTTTAGCCTTGTTTTAGTTTTTTTAATTAAGAAGGCTTTTTCTTTCTTTTTTTTTTTACTTAGCGTTCATTCATCTTTCGCTGAGTTCATTCATCTTTCATATAAACCAAATGTAAACAATCAGATAATAACATCATTGTATCCCAAACTAGGATCAACATATCTTAACTACATCTTAACTGAGCTCAAGAGTTGATCCTATTGCCATTCCTAGTAAGTGAATTTTTCAACAATTCACACTACCCCATACATCCATACTTATCTAAGTTTAGCCACACAGTAACGTCCAGTTTACAGCGGATAAGTTGTTGTTGATGAAAATAAAATTGTTAAAACTTCCAGTGGAATTGAAACTAAAATTATTGCTGCATTTTAGTTGGGGCTGGTTCGGCTGGAGCAACTTTGGCTAGTCGACTCTCGGAAGATTCCAACGCGAGGGTTTTGCTGCTGGAAGCGGGAGGTTTACCAGACGTACTCAGTTCTGTCCCCCTATTTTCTGCAGAACTACAACTTACCAAGTATGATTGGGCTTTTAAAACTGTTCCACAAGAAGCTGCCTGCTTCGGTCAGAAAGGCAGGGTAAGTTAACGAAGGTGTCTTTGTTTTAGTCGGAGTCTAATTAAAGGAATTAAAGATTAGATTTTACATCGTTGTCATTGGTTTTGTGTTATTGAGATATTACAAATATGTTCATTGAGTAAACAACATCAGATAAATAAGCAATACAGTATTTTCTGATAAAACAATATAAAGTAATAAGAGTGGATATTGCTTTCCAGTCATTCAAATTCCGTTACTTTGTAATTTTCGCTTGCATTTATATCTTGAATATTCCAGCCACATCTTTTCTAAATCATATTAAAATAAAGTTTGAAATTTTAATGTTGGTACGGGTTGGCTCTGTGGTACAGTTCTGGATTTTGGAGTTGGCGGGCCGGCTTCGAATGCATGCGATACTACAAAATAATCCCGCATTTTACACAGTGGATGTGTTATAAAACTGACAGCCAATCCTTTATTATAGATGGTGGGAGGATTCTGCTGATTGGCTACCTTTCCATTGGTCAGTATTTCAAAATTACGGACGACCTAAGATAGATGCTTAATAAAAAATACGAAATATAAATGAAATTTAATTCTAAAATCGAAACATTTTAAAAATAATATAACTATATCTAAGGTAACATTTTACAATAAAGCCACATCCAGCCTTAAATAATTTATGTCTGTTCTTTTTAATTTTTAATAAACATTGTAACACTTTAGACTTTTTGTAAGATTAAACGAATTGTTTGTTTTTTTTTCTTGTACAGAGAAGCTTGTGGCCTCGTGGTAAGGGGCTTGGTGGAACAAGTTTGATGAATTATATGCTGTATATACGGGGTAATCCTCGAGACTATGACAAGTGGGCGGAACATGGAGCTCGTGGCTGGAGTTGGCAAGAAGTGTTCCCTTATTTTCTCAAGTCCGAAGACAACCGTGATCCGTTGTATGCATTTAATGGCAAGTTTTCTGTCTACAGTTGAACTCGATGATTGAGAAAGTAGAGATGAGAATATCATTGAATAATCATGATTTTAAAAGTTGTGAAATGTCAGATGTTTACCTTTCTTCACTCATTACAAGAGAAATTTGCGAAAGTTAATATGCAAATACTGTACAGTAAATCTTGCATCAACGAGTACCACAACTGTTTCATACAATAATAACATTCATTTGTTTATGGTATAAATATTTTGATTTAATCTTTTTAGGATACCATGGTATAGGAGGTCCACAGACTGTTGAAACTCCTCCGTATATTTCACCATTAGGATATGCCTTCGTAGCGGCAGGCATGTCCCTTGGATATCTTAATATTGATCTCAATGGGCCTCATCAAACAGGTAAGCTAGACTGTTAAAACAACATCACATATATCATCATTACGATACGCCTTCGTAATGTCAGGCATGACCCTTGGATATCCTAATATTGATCTCAATGGACCTCATCAAACAGGGAAGCTAGACTGTTATAACTCCCCCGTATATTTCACCATTACGATACGCTCGTAATGGCAGGCATGCCCCTTGGATATCATAATATTGATCTCAATAGGCCTCATCAAATAGGTCAGCTAACATGCTTAAGTCTCCATTTGTGTATACAGTTTAGGGCTAATAAATGAAACAAAAAATTAACTTAAGTTTTTAATATTTTTTTTCTTTCTTACATACATCTTAGCCTACTAAGTACATCAAACAGCAATCCTTGTCTTTCTTTTCTCTGTTACAAGGTACTGCTTGGAAGACTCTTGTTTATTATACCACACTAAACTGAGTCAATCAAAAGCTTATTCTAATTAAGTACCTCAAGGAGCTAAATGCCAAAGTGTAAAACTTGAAGCTGGAAGGAATGAAAAACAGCTTTTTCAGTTCTCGTTTGTTTTGCGCACCTTAAGAATCTCATATAGACCCGAAACTACCTGACACGTTTTCTATTTCCTTTTAACGACGTTTCGGTTTCCATACTGAGACTTTCTTCGGGTCAAATTGTCTGGGATAGTGTTTATTTCCGTAAGTAAGAGGTTGAAGTGCGGTCATTACAGAGAACTTAATTTAGTTAGGTCTTCAAAGGAGTTAATAGAAAATTAACTTACCATTGAATATGTACATGTTTGGTTAGATCTTCAAAGGAGTTACTAGAAAATTAACTTACTATTGAATATGTACATGTTTGGTTAGGTCTTCCAAGGAGTTACTAGAAAATTAACTTATCATTGAATAGTTACATGTTTGTTTAGGTTTTTCAAGGAGTTACTAGAAAATTAAATTAATATTGAATATTTACATTTTAAAATTGAATACTATAAAAAATTAATATTCATGGTCCAGTATTACAGCTATCAAGATTTTGGACACATAGCAGATAGATGTACAAGATCTAGTAAATGTTTACGATGTGCAAGTGATCATGAAGTTAATACTTATAATTTACCAATAAATCAAACTGTATTAACTGGGGTGATGATCACCACGGAAGTTATAACTTGTCTCATAACAAAACAGGTTTAACTTTAAATATGCCAATAAATAAGAATAACAGAACATGCATCAAAGTATTGAAACAAAATACAATTAAATCTAATTTTGAGTAAACCTTAAAAGATTTAAAATACTAAATAACATTTAAATTTACAAATATTCTTGCTGAAACTTTGATAAAATCAAAACATTCAAAATTCAAAAGAAGTGACATTGTAAAACTTATTTTCGATTCTGTATAAAATTTGGTTTAGTTTCAACCAGATCCTGAACTCATATATCAAAATGCTTTAAAATATGGAAAAAATATTAACAATAAACAGTGAAAATATTTAGACTAAAAATAACTTCTGTAAATATGCAAAGTGTTTATTAGACAAATTGATTGAATTAAATCATTATATTAATAACGAAACATTTGATGTTATTTGTGTGTCAGAAACCAAGTTAATTGAAAGGAAAGTTTAAGTTCATAAGTTTAATGTTTATAGATATAATATATAGCTGAAAATTCATACATTAGGCTTAGTAAAACTCTAAATATAATATTAATTCTAATTTAGTCATTAATATTAATTCTGATGTTATTGAACTATGTGTTGCTGATATGTCATTTGATAATAATATAAAAGCTACAACAGCTAATATTCATGTTTAATCAAAAATTATTATGACAGTAATAAGTTCAAAGATTATAAATTATAACTCAAATTTAATTATCTCAGGATATTTGAAAAGTAAACACTTGACTTTTGGATGCATAAAACTAACGAGAATGTTGCTCATTTTCAAATATAATTAAAAAATATAACCTAATTCTCTTGAATGATTAAAGACAGAGGCATTTTATTAATGTTACTGGTGAAACTGATATTTTAGATTTTATTTTTAATTGAAACCAAATCTTATAGATATATCTAAAGTTTTGACATTGGTTAAGGTATAAGTAGTGATCACCTCCCATTTATTGGTTTGTTAAATTATTTTAGTAAGCAAAATAACATTAATGTAAATACATCAAAATACTAATTTAATGAAGCTGAGTGGAATAGTCTCTTTTAAAATATAATTTTACCACTATAAAAGATAAGGAACAAATAATTGCATATGGCCACAATATTTAGCAAAAGTGTAGTCAATACAGCAAATATAGCCATTCCAAGATATTTATCAAAATACAAGTTGGGAATTCACTCAGGAAATGAAGGTAATAATTAAAGAAAATGGAAGACACAGAATAATTTATATAAAGAAAACATGATCCATCTTTATTTATTAAACAAAACAAAAAAGAACTGATTAAAATACAAAAAAATCAAGGTTTCTAAAGAAATTTTTAACTAGTTAGACAAAGCAAGATATATTGGTAAATTTGGAAAACAGTTAATACTAATAAAATAAATATATTGATTTACAATTTAATAATATAATTAGTAAGATTTATATTGATGGAACAAATCTTCTTAGGAATTTAATGGAAGTAACAAGTTATATAAACATAAAATACTAATAAAAATAAATATACTGACTTACAATTTAATAATATAATTAGTAAGATTTATACTGATGGAACAAATCTTCTTTGGAACTTAATGGAAGTAACAAGGTGTATAAACATTTAATACTAATAGAAATAGAAATATAGAAAGACTGAGGCTCATTTTAATCAATTAACAAAGGTTTGAAAGTTTATTATTTGAATCACCAAGTAAATTCGTTGTACTTTTATAACTTTTATGCGCAGTAGAAAATGTGTTCTCGGAGTTGAAAAGAGACTATTTGTTTGAAGTTAAGCACAAAGCTACACAAGGTGCTATCTGTGATCTTTCCACCACGGGTATCGAAACCCGGTTTCTAGCGTTGTAAGTCCGCAGACATGCCACTGCGGGTGCTTGAAAGAGAATATTTGAAAATTTTCTGTTTTTTTTTTTTTTCAGAAATGTGATTAACGGATCTACGATACTTTCCCTCTAGTGTTTTCAATCCCAAACTTCCAATCACGTTGATCAGAACCTAATAACCAATGTTTCTGAAAATCGTTCACTACCAAAGGCTTCTCTGACACAAATAAATAAATCATTCCTACTAGAAAAGGCTTAGGTTTGTTGCAATTTGCATAAACGCTCATAATTTTTAGTATTAATGCAATTGAAAACATAAGGCCAATTTCTGTTACGACGTTAATTTCCCACCATAACTGTTAAGTATAAAATGTATATAGTGATTCTAAAGACCAATGAGTGAAAGCAAAGAATATTATATTATGAGATGTCAACAACACTATATCAATGCCATATCCAGTGCCGACGAAGCTTTTCGCCTAAAACCAGGACTCATCAGGCCAGATGAGATACAGCAGACATAGTATTGATCTAAACGATATTTATATCTTCAATCGACGCTTCTAGTTTCATTTATAATGAAACAAATATGAGTACACATGAAGTATCACTTAGATATCTTTCCATCTTGGAGTATGTTTTTCTCGTGTGTTGAGTTTACAATAAAACTAAGTAGCTCAACTAAACAACAAGAGGAATCATTTTGTTTTTTCCAGGGTTTTCTGTACCTCAGGGAACGATCAGAAATGGCCGACGATGTAGTGTTTCAAATGCCTACATTGAACCAGCTCTAAGAAGGAAGAATTTGAACATTCTTCTTCAAGCACACGTGACCAAGGTAAACCAAGCTAACTTCATCTCCTAATGTATACCGATCTTTGTTATGTATTAAAACTTTTAGTCTGATTACATTTTCAATTATCTGTCGACCGATCGATCCGTAAATATTTACAATAACTTGTTGATTATACATCAATCATGTATTACTCTTGTCACTGTTTCAGCATAAATAGGCCCGTAAAATAACTATATTTTAACTGAGACATATTTCTGAAATTATGAATGTATTCCACCAGTGTAAGGAGTGTTCTGCTTACTATTGTTAAACTCAGTCAAGTCGGCCTGTTTTTAGTAACAAAAGGAATGTATTTGAAAACCTGTTCAAATAATTTCACACCGGACTAAACTTTTGTTTATGATATTTTAAGATCCTGTTTGACAACCGTCGCTGGGCACGAGGGGTGCAGTTCCTTCATAAAGGCTTACCACGTGTTGTGTTCGCCAGGAAAGAAATTATTTTGTCTGCTGGGACCATCAACACCCCTCAAATTCTGATGTTATCAGGGATTGGTCCTCGAAATCATCTTGAAAGGCTAGGTGTATGGATTGGTATTCTGTATCTCATTTGTTCCTTCTAATTTATCAGCAAAGAGTAAATGTATTCTATTTCCAAAACATGCATCTTATAAACTAAAAGTATAATGTTAGGATTCAAGCGCATTCTTTCAAAGCTTGAACATTTCATTTTAGACGAGTAAACTTGTTTTTAGAAATTCTGTATCTCATTTGTTCCTTCTAATTTATCAGCAAAGAGTAAATGTATTCTATTTCCAAAACATGCATCTTATAAACTAAAAGTATAATGTTAGGATTCAAGCGCATTCTTTCAAAGCTTGAACATTTCATTTTAGACGAGTAAACTTGTTTTTAGAAATTCTGTATCTCATTTGTTCCTACTAATTTATCAGCAAAGAGTAAATGTATTATATTTCCAAAACATGCATTTTATAAACTAAAAGTATAATGTTAGGATTCAAGCGCATTCTTTAAAATCTTGAACATTTCATTTTAGACGAGTAAACTTGTTTTTCGAAATTGAGTTTCTAGTTTTGTGATTGTTTTATTTCAACACTATTGTCATGATTTGTTTAGTGTTTGGTACTTTGGAATCTCGTGCTTAAGCCAAAAACGTACGTAACTTTTGGTTTCCCTCTTTAAAGATCCCGGTCATTGCCAACCTACCAGTGGGTAACAATCTCCATGACCACGTGGGTGCCTCTGGAATGCACTTCTTGATTGACCAACCAGTTTCAATCATTCCGTTACGGTTTACTAGCCCAAACATTGTACAGAATTTTTTTATACACGGTAAAGGTAAAATATGCTATATTTCTTCTTCTTCTTCTTTCATACGACTGTCGTTGATACGGATAACTAAATCATTGACAAGGTGTAACGTGTGGACAAGTATAATGTTTATTATTAATACGTAAGATCGTAAGGTCAATAGTAGACAGCGGGCTTTAAAATAAGATTTTCAGAGATATGACATTTAACATGGACGTTGGCTCCTAAGACCACTTTCAAGCAAGCAGAAGGTAAAAGTCCATTCTTCCTGTTGGCTACTTCATCACTTCGCCTGGAGTTGTTTTACCACGCTAATGTAGTAGTAACAGACTTCAACTGGTTCTACATTAAGCGGTACTGTTACATATAATGTTGCTTTACCACGCTAATATAATAGTAACAGACTTCAACTGGTCCTACATTAAGCGGTACTGCTACATATAATGTTATTTTACCACGCTAATACAGTAGTAACAGATTTCAACTAATCCTATATTGAGCGGTACTGCTACATATAATGTTACAGTACCACGCTAATACAGTAGTAACAGACTACAACTGGTCCTAAATTAAGCTGTACTGCTATATATAATATTGCTTTACCAAGCTAATATAGTGGTAACGGACTTCAACTGGCCCTTCACCCAATTTTACTTTGCCAACAAGTTGATTCTGATTAGTTTACTGTACCAATGGAATGCCTCTGAAGATAGCTTGATGTCCTCTACAGTGTATCGCTACATATTGTATTGATTTATCCATTTAAATGGCCAAAAGCAACAGTTCTTGCTGTAATGGGACCTGGTATCCTAAATGGCTAACGTGCCGGGTTATGAATCCGAAAGTACGTGGTTTGTGTCATGTTGCCACAAACACGTGCTCCGTAATTTAGGGGCCGTGGGTGCTATATAAGAGTGATAATCAAACCTCACTATTCCGTCACATAAGATTAGCCTAAAAGCTGGATGTTGACTAGTTGCCTTTCTTGTTGTCTGTCAGCTGAAAATTAACGATGGCTAACGCAGATAATACGGGTAAGCTTTGCGTGTTCGTGTGTGTTCGAAACAAACAAACCTACTGCAATGGATTTGTATGGGAATGTGATTTCATGTAATTGAAATATAAGAGACTCATAACTTGCATTTGTAAACTTGTAACAGCAGCGTGGCTTTGGTTAGTGTTACTCAAACAGCGTTAGACTCTCAGCTAGATAACCTATCATGTAAAGCTGCGTTTAATAACTTTTATAAAACTTGCAGATAGCCTTTATATGCAGAAACATCAGTTAGCTGAGTTCTTGCATGGATCCTAAAATATAACGTTGATAAACGGAAACATCGGCACATGTAGGTATGTAGATCTTGAAAGTCGAGTTGTTCAAAACTTGAAA